GGGTTTTTTAAGATATCATGTATTTATTTACTTAGTATTGTTCAAGGTAGTTGTTTACCAAAAATGTTGATCGCAAATGCAAATCTTGATTTATTATAAATCTTTAATCATTTAATCATTAACCAAAAAAATTGAAACTGATTTATTAACTGATGTTGAATGTGACTTAAATTTGTTTTCACAAATGTTTTCTACTTAAAAAGCTCTCTTTAGATTGCGGCTCATGTGATGCGGCTCATACGAGTCGATCTAGCCATGTCTGTCTGTCTGTCTGTCTGTCCGTATGTATGAACGTGCCGATCTCAGAACCTACAATAGCTAGAAACTTGAAATTTTGCATGTGGATCCTCCTAGTATACGCGCAGGGTGCCGCCGATAATCGATTGCCCCGTTACCAAGAAGTCGATAAAAATCGATATCGATTTACTTCTTTTTGAGAAAATCTGCATTTGGTATTGGCAGAATAAGGCTCAGGGTATCCGGGCACTCCCGACTATAGACATCTTGCATGTTTTTAAACTTACTTTTAATATATATTGTTATGAATATTTTATAAAATATAAAAAATATTTATTTCAATAATAAATAAAATGCAGTATATATATTTATATTCGATTCATTTCTAAAACTAATAAAAGCCCATAAACTTTATTCTCTCTGAAGTTCCTTTAAATTTATGAACCTATGTACACATATGAACTGTTGAACCCTCTTTTAATATGCATAACTCATAAATGACCGGCAACTCACAAAACTTAATGGACCACAACCACTCGCAACAACAATTTCGGTCTCGAGTGCATACACACACTCATAAAGGAACACCCAAAAGAACAACAACAATAAATAATAAATAATATTTCACATAAATAATTGTTTCCCTTCCCGAATTCGTAACCCATACAAAATATAAAAAGGAAAGGCCATACAATTGTGGATGTTGGGACGAAAAATATGTTAACTAATCACCGTAGGAAAGGAGTTTTATGGGTTTTCATTTCCGCATATAATCGACTTATGCCACAAGCCAAGAAAAGCGGCCAACGCCGCCGCCGCTGCGTCATCGTCGAAGCAGTCAACGGGAAAAACCAAAACCGGAAATGTGGAACGTTAAGCGTTGAGCCAGAGATGCGACACTGGAGGTGATATATGTCAATCGGCAAAAATGTTGTTTGCGAAAAGTGCCGTAGAAAAATGTCATTTCCTTTATGAAACTCGGATATGAGCTGCGAGTGGATGTGGCTGTGGTCTCGCCCATGCTCTATAAACAATTCATATGTGCATTGAGTTGGCCAACACAATAACTTGTATCCAACACTAACACAAATCAACTGAAAGTTGCTGGCAATAAAAACAACAGGGGTTGCGGGTGAGATCAGCAAAAGAAGTAACTCCGTGAATATATGGTTATTGGGTCCAGCTCGACTGATAAGTCGGGCCGCAGCAATTACAGCAGCTTAATGACTTGTATTACCCGCCCGAGAGCCTGGCCCTGCCCAGTGGCAACAGTTGCCGGGGCCACTGGACAGGCGGCACAAAGGCGCGGCCAAGGCAACGGGTGTCATTCACAGCTTAACGCCGCATATTCTGGTCGCATTTGAATATCCAACGTCAGCTCCTGTCGCTGGCGCCTGAGCGCAGCTCCTGTTTCTGTAATTAGATGCCAGGCGCAACGCTTGCCAAATCCAAGATAATAACGCCGCGGTGGTCCTGTCTTTGAGTGGCACTCGTCAGTGGTCTGTGAAAAAATGAAACGCGGCAGGACGCTGGCTCAAACACTTTATCAATTGACACACACACACACACACACCATGACAACAATGCCACTCAAACTCCATCCACAGCTAATTGTAAATTCAAACAGTTTTTTTTTTCTACTATTCCTTTTTATGCCCCGTATTTTATTAAAAATGCGAAAGACAGGGTATAACCAACTTGTGCGTATGAATGTAAAAGAAAAGAGCCAAAGAGTAGTTATATTTCATGTCCGTTTTTGAATTTGGACTCTTTATTCTTGGGTATTATACGAAAACAAGTTTTTCCCCCAACAATCGATAGAAATCCAATTCTGGGTTTTTGTGCTCAGGAATTGTAGAAGCTGGAGTCACCAAATTTGGTGTGAATCTTTTCTATGGCACACACGAATCTAGAGCATTTCATTTTTGAATTACTTTAAAAAGTATTTTCAAAATTATATGCCTTGATTTTTATTATAAAATATCATATCAGAAAATAAACAAGAAATAAGTTAAAAATGATTTCTTCACATTTGAGCTAACTCTGCTTGGGTGTACAGGGTATCTTCAAGTTGGTGCAGATTCAACGTCAGCGCGTTTACTTGTGTTTTTTTTTTCAGTTTCTTGTATTTCTTTTATTGTATTGAAATTTGACTAACGCGCGTCCAGAGAAATTTATTGCGTTTCCTTGATAATGACATAATATTTTACGCTTCGACAGAGTCGCACAGGCACAGAGAGGGGTGGAGAACGCGCCAGAGCCGAGTGGGCAGCAAGTGGAGCACTGGGAACTTCACTTGAGCATCGACAGTTTTATTTAAATTTCAATTGTGTTTGCTCTGTGTGTGTGTGTGTGTGTGTGTGTGTGTGTGCTACACATTTCCATTAATTTTAAGTGGTGCGCTCACAGTTTCCGCCATGGAATTGGTAGCTGGGATTGCGTTTGCCTTTGCGGTCGGGTGTAGGGGGGTTGGACAGCACCTTGGGACCGCTTCGCGTCCATTGTTGGCAGCTGTATCTGTGTCCCTTGCATTATGCTATTGTTATTGACTTTTGCGCGCCGCTCAATCATAATCACAATCATAATCAAATGTTCGCTCCGCGCTTACCTGCGCCGGTTCTTATCAGCCAAGCGGCACGTCATTTGCATAATGCAAACATTGCTGTGCCATGTGGCAGACAGTGTGGCACAGACATATGTACACACAGCTAAGGCTCTTGCTTCAAATCAAAAGATTTGCCGGCTTAAACAAATTGGCAACATATTTGCTTTGGGCTTTCAAGTGGGCCACGTGAGCTGAAAGCCCAACATCTTCAAAGGTAAGGGCCAATGGGTAAACATTTTGCAAAAAAGGCCCAAATAAATGACGAAAATTGTGACCTTAATTTGCAAAAGTAAATAAAAATCAGGAGAGCACGGCCAACTGCGGCAAGCCGAATACTAAATGCCCTTCGCTTAGAAGTGCTTTGATATGCTCCTGTGCAAAAGTAGATATAAAGATATCTGTAAGAATCGAAAAGCCATAAATGATATAGTGCTTCCATCCAGGTGTCTGCAACAGAAAGACTGACAGACGAAGGGACGAAGTGAGGATTATGATTATATCGACTTGGCTGTTAATACTGATCAAGAATATATATGTATATGTATTTCTAAATATTTGATTAGCTGGAGAAGTCGAGCTAATCAAATAATTTAATATGGGAAAGGTCACCACATCAACATTACGTCTGATTCTTACCGTTACACATTTCGTGTCAAAATTAATATGATCTCTATAAGGGTATTAAAAGATAAAGACACAAAAGAAGAAAGCGGTAAAGCTGCACGCAAATAGGACTTTAAAATCTAATTTCGCATTTTGCCAGCAAACCGCCAAAGCCTGCAAATAGAGAACTTGGTGATTGGATAAGATGGAACCCTTTTGTAAAAATTTAAATGCCAGCAAGGCACACACACTCGCATGCATATTATTTGCAAATTAGCCGCTTGATGGACGGAGGGAGAACTTGATATGCGAAATGGAACCAATAAACCGTGAAGCACACGCATGCGGCCGCCAAACACCAGGCAGCAGGCACCATTCACCAGTTGCCAGTTACCAGTCGCTCGGCCTGGGCAATCAGTGGGCTCAATCCCTTTGGGGTGAAGACTGGGTCCAAGCACTGGTTGTCATTTTGTCAAACGCATTTGAGTATGAGCGCCCGCGGTGGTACGTAGCGTGCGGCGCCTTTCTCTGCATTTCGCTCTGTTGTTTGCTTTAAAGTTTACAGATATGTATTTTTTCCTATATACTTTTTGCAGCCACTGTTTGTTGTGTTGGCAACCGCTGGATGTTTCATTAAAGGGTTGGAGTGGGGGCTGTATTTGCTTTGCGAAAGTCGCAAAGTTTGCCCAGGCAGGAGCCTGGTGGCCACCACATTAGTCCTGTTTGTCATGTGGAACATGATTTGAGGCATTTCTGCTTCAATTGCTTTGAAAAGGCGGCTGCAAAATGGATATGATGAAAGAAAAGCGTACGCCATTTGCATGCTCTATTCCAATATATTCGCATGTAGAGAAGCCCATGCGACGGCAATATTAATGGATGCGCATCTTCTGCATATTGTAGGTTATGTTCAGCTGTGCTTTGTGCGCAACTGTACGCAGGAAAAGAAAGAGAGGGAGAGAACAGTTGCCGTTGTTACCTGAAGAAGAGTGAATATTCTATAAGAATGTGAATTAACTTATCTATGATAAATAAAAGTAAATCGGAATTATTGTTGATCAAAATTTACTTGAAAGTCTTTCAAGTAGAAAACTGTTAAAAATAGAAAAATATTTAGGTGCGCTTGAGATATTTTGAGATTTGAAGCAAATTTAATATGTTGTGAAGATCTTTCAGTTTAAAAAGCATTTTTCTTATTCGATAACCTTGACTTTCGAGACGATGTTTGTCACAGTTTTGGGTCTAAACTTGGGCCTGTACCATATTAATAAATAAAAATTGTTTTTCTTCTTTGATTTGTACACAATTCCAAAAATTTTAAGTAATCCAATATTTTACATTGTTTAAAACATGCTTATGGAGTGGTATAAAGGCCACGTTGTCACATTTTATTTTGATGATTTTTCTCTATTTGTTTTTCAAATTGATTTAAGTTTTACGAATTCATAAGGGAGACTGTTTCGTTATACTTATACTCAACACACTAATAATGTTGGAATTACAAGCTATGACAGTTTCACACCCATTTCATTTTATTGTCATACAATATATTTATTGTCATACAATACAAAATTAAATATAATATCTAACATATTAATGCTGTGTTTTGAAAATCTTTATGGTTGAGATATGCGTGAGAACCGTTTTACATATGTTTGATTTGCGATAAAGTTTTGGACTTTTAATTTGAATACATTTTTTTTGCAAATGCGACTCATTCAAAATGTCAAGGCTGCACTATGGATGCCCGACAAAGGGATGTTGTTCTAAAGTAAGTCGATATTTTATTTTTTATCATTTTTAAAAATTCTATCTAAAGAACGAAAAGCTACAAATTAAATACATATTCCACACACGAACTTTGTGGGCTCAAACTTATTGAGAATCATTCTTGTTTTTTTTTTTTTTTTTTTTTTTTTTTTTTTGATTAGCAGACAAATTTCCAAAATGACCAGCAAAAAATTGGTGCGACATAACAAGCTTGGAAAGGGGTGGAGTGAGGGGGGCGGGGAAGGGTAGGGTACAGACTGCACATTAGAAATTTAGAAAATTACAGAAACTAACGAGCAGAAAATACGTTTTGAAGTTTGCTGCATCATCATCAGCATCAGGACAATTGATGAACGATGCGCCGAGCTGGACACCCAAATTGGGGTGGACAGTGGGCACGTTTAACCCTTGCGTGTTAGCCAATTAACATGGCAACTGACGCAAAAGGACGCGCACTTGACCAGGCGACCACCAGTGGTCGGCGCCAGGTCCTGTTGTTGCTCTAATTGAAAGTCATTGAGCGTGAATAACTGGGCATTTGTTTGTACATTTGTCACATGGGCGCGCGCGCGCGTTAAACTTCAAACAGGTTAGGCAGCTGGCGGCATTTTCGGACTGCCCAAAGTTTTCATAGTCGTCGTGTCAAAATTTATAAATGGCTGGTCACTCGGTGACTGGTCAAGTTCATGTTATGCGTCAATTGTTGCGCCTCAGTGGGCAAAGTTCACTTGCCAATGCACACGAGTGCGACAGTTGTTGTGTGTGTTATTATGTAAACTTACAAAATCGGGGTCATAGTGTCCACAATTTTACAATTATTAAAAAAGTTCCTGTTCAGCGAGGGTGCCCGCTGCTCCATGTCTTGTATAGCACTAGTTGGTAAGGTCTCGAGATACAGATCTTTTCCTAGAATCGAGTGCCATTCGCAGTTCAACGCAGCGACCATGGCCCAAATCTGACCCAGAATGTCTAGAGATAGGGCGCTTTTCAAGTTGTAGGCTGCTTGTGAAGTGCTCAGAGTTGAGGCGTCAGTAGAGTAGTCGCAGCCTGATTTGTCCTGTCGGCACGATTGTCTGCTGGGGCACAGTTTGACATGCCCTGCTTTTATTTACATTAACATATGCAAAACTGTGTACGCCCCAATGTGTCACAACCTTATCATTATCATCTTTATCTAACCTAATCACTGGAGTGAAATTGAAACAGCTTAACCCTTATAAACAAGACTCAACTGTCTGGGGTGGCTCATCCGGCAGGCTTTCATAAATCACGCCGAGAAAAAATAATGTATAAAGATTCTTATGAAATATTACGAAATATGAACGCATGGAAAACTGCTGAAAAATCGCGTGACGAGCGCATGTCAAAGCGCAAGGGGCCGGGCCAGGGCAAAAGGGGTAAGGTAATGTCGGCTTAGAGTCAAACCGCACGCTCTCTGCAGGGCAGGGGCAAAGCGGCAGCTCGGGATGTGCGAATGCGGATTGAGCGGCGACTTACAAGCGTCTGACATCAATCAAAACGCACAAAGCGACGCGATGATGCGATTTGCACTAACGATGCAGGGCCCTAGACTCCGCTCCCAGTTCTGCACCCACTCCCAGTTCCAGGCCACATGTGTGACAAGAAGTCATTTGAAATTGGTTGAAATTTTAAAGTAGTTTGCGAGGGATTCGCGAACGCGTGTCAAACTGGCAGCCCCTTTGGGATTTGCCAGCCCTTTGAATAATGATGATGCTGTCGCCGTCATCAGACGGGTTTTTCGCTTTCGCTTTTGGGAAAATTTGCATGTGAAAATAAATCGCAAGTGCCGAATGCGCCATGTAATTTACACGTTTGACAAAGTATCAATGATATCGACGGGGACGACGTCATCGCCCGTGACACAAATCGTCGCAAATCGTTATTTACAATACACACATGACGCACCCGGTTGTGCCGCTGAGCCCTCTGCCCCCTGCTCCTGTTCCTGCTCCTGCTCCTGCTCCTGCTCACGCCGCAACCAAGTTGCGAGCTGTTGGGCGGGCGGGGCATCTCTTTGGCGGCGGCAGTGTCACAAATATCCCGCGGCGCTTTCGCTACACATTCGAACAACAATGTGTGAAAGTTTTTTTCTGTACTCGTAAAAAATGAAGCGCCGCATGTGTCAGACACAGGCCTCAGCAACAATCCGACCCCGCCCGCCACTCCTTTGGCCACTGCGCCTTTTTAGTAGTTTTTAATGTTGTTTTGGTCCCCGAGGCTTTTGGCACTCGGCTCCAGCAATACCCCCTGTTACCCCCCATCCCAAAAGGTCGCCTGGGGCGTTTTGTACTTTTCTACAAAATTAATTTTAACCACAGCCACCGAAATTGCAACAGTTCGATGATTAATGATTTGTTTTGGCCGGCACGCGATCGAGTCACAACTGTTCGTCTTCTTCCTTCAACGAAATCGAAATGACGAAATGTGATATGGCCCACATAGGGGCCTTTCCTTTTTCAGTTTAGTTGTTTTTTTATTGCCTGGAATTATTCATTTCTTTGTAAGCGTTAATCATTAATAATTTTTATGGCTGTTTCCCCCTAATCACAGCGTGGAGTGTAAGTCAAAATGTGTGTGTGTAATGATAAATGCATAAGATTAAGAAATATGAAAGCTCTGCTCGAGTGTAATCGACAGGAGACACAATTAATACTACTATTATATTATTTACATTGAAAGCAAGCTGACTGCATTAATATTTTTACAATTTTTAAGAAATACTATATGATAAGTCTTAAAAACTGTGCAGAGGTTCGTCTTGTCGGAACCGACAGGAGTTTCTTGTATGGAGACCTATTTTATACGCTTGTGAGGGGATTTTAATTTTGTCTTGAAATGTGAAATAAAGGAAGCGTAAATAGAAAAGAAAATAAAAATAACTTGACCAAACTCGAATTTTTTGAGTTCCACTATGATCTTCATATATTTATATGCTAAAGGGAAACGCATACAATAATATGAAATATTCTTCGAAGATATCCTTACTTTCTCATTTCAATCAAGTGCATGTACATTTTTATAACTTTGAATCTTTTATAAAGATTTATAAGTAAATTCTTGAACAAGTTTCCTACGCCCTTTGAATTTAATCAAGAAAATATTGTCCTAGTTTTCTAGAAAATTTCTTTTTCAACTAAATGTGTAAAGCTCTGAACATACTTTGAATATACATTCAGCACTCATTCGATTCGATGCCGTTGCGACATCAAATTTCTATGTTATTTGCAGTGCTCGCTATTTGCCATTTTTCAAGCTGTCAGCAACAGACACGCCACACGCCACATGCCACATGCCACATCCTTGCTAGCCTCTCGCCACCTTCGCTTAAGCACTTGGCGCCACATCGGGTTGCAGCAACAGCAGCAGCAGCAACAATAAAAAGACAAACATATTGACAGCTCAATGCTGTTACCGTAATGTTTAAATAAAAATTTGCATTCATTTAACTGAAGCTGGCGTCACCCACAGCCAAGGGCCTTGCCCCAGCCCGACCTTCATCTTTACCACGTCACCAACCAGCTCCCTTGAAACTGGCGCCAATCAGTGGCACGTCAAAAGTAACGCGCAGACATATTAGACATATGTTGCACACACACACACACACAACTTTGCAAAATTTATAAAAATTGCAAATGAAGCGCAACAACAACAACAAATTGGGCTTAACTACAAAATACCCTGTGTCCCTCAATTAATATAATATTTTTTAGCAGCATAGTCTAATATGAACGCCAGAATTTGTTTGCAGTAACAGACAGATGATATGATAAATCTATATATATATCAAAGTACAAGGATCCTGCTTTAAACGGATTGATCGATCTTGGGAGGTATCTAAAAAGAGAACCTTTCCTAATCTTAAAATCGATTATTCTCTATATCTGGGAGACTATGTGTTAGGCATAGAGCTTTTGTCTCTAGCTCTTATAGGTTCTGGGATTGACATGTTTATAGATTCGGGCAGATGTTTGAACGGACGGACAGATGGCTAAACAGATTAAGTTATTGGTGCTGATCAACAATATATATGCTTTATGGCATTGAACATGCCTAGTTTTTCTACCTGTTACATACATTTGCAAAAAATCATGATACCCCTTCTTGATCATTTTCAATGGCTACAGAGTATAACAAAAGCTACAGTGGCAAGTGAAAGTGTCCTGACGAGATGGGCGTTGTCGCTCGGAAAAGTGGAAATGCCATCAGCATTTGCCACGCCTATGCAACCCCGTAGCCCCGCAAAGTTAATGATGTTTTGCCAGGATATGCATAGTTGTTGCTATTGGCGTTGTTGTTGTTGTAGTAGCCATGCCGTGAAAAGCGCGAAATCTCTCAGCTTGTAGACTGGGAACTGCAGCACATGTGCGCACTCCGACTGTCGCCTGACTTTACACATTCGTTTGCAATTTTTAAGCCTTAGCAAAAATGGTTTTCTTCCAACGCTTTGTGACGCGTAAATTGACATTGCTTTGCTTTTTGGCCGCATCCACGAAGGGGACTTTTTCTTACAGCTCGTTATGCTAATATCCTGTTGCCAAAAAGAGTTTTGATTAATGATGCCTCAAATTGATGATAAAAAAATAGAAAGACGTGACAGCTGATGACGCTAGAAATTATTTTTTAGAAATGTTTGAAAAATAAGCCAAAAATAATAATGCGCGCGTCTCTTGCTTATTATATGAAAAGGTGTACAAGAAAAACTCTCCACTTACAACCAGACGAAGGTCCTGTCTGTGCTCGTTTCGGCTTCATATTACGCCACTTTACTCTTTCAATATTTAATCAGCGCTGAGAGGCAGCTCAGGCCCAGCCATAATCAAACAACGAACTGGGCAACGTAGGCGGGTGCCCTTAATCAAAAAATCAAACAATTGACATTCAATATGGTCTAATTTTTTACGCTGCCATTAAACAAATTATTGGCAGAGGGCATCAATAAGTTGGAGTGGGAAGAGAGGCAAGTGGTACTCCGACCCCATA